CTTTGACTTTCCGTGTTTTCGGCACTTCACGTAGCACGATGCTAAAGAATCTCCTCAGAAGTCATCGTCGCCAATCGCACTGGGACTATGCGGGATCGCAAGGGCACGCTCTAAACCGGTCCTCTGCTTCAATAGGAACGCGAAATTCGACTTTGACTTTCCGTGTTTTCGGCACTCCACGTAGCACGACGCTGAAGGATCTCCTAAAAAGTCACCGACACTAACCGCACAGGGACTCTGCGGGATAGCAAAGGCACGCTCTAAATCGGTCCTCTGCTTCAATAGGAACGCGAAATTCGACTTTGACTTTTCGTGTTTTCGGCATTTCACGTAGCACGACGCAAAAGACTCTCCTCAAAAGTCATCGTCGCCAGTCGCACTGGGACTAGCCGGGATCGAAACGGCAAGCTCTTAATCGGTCCTCTGCTCCAATAGGAACGCGAAATTCGACTTTGACTTTGCGTGTTTTCGGCACTTCACGTAGCACGACGCTAAAGGATCTCCTCAGAAGTCATCGACACCAATCGCACTGGGACTGTGCGGGAACGCAAGGGCACGCTCTAAATCGGTCCTCTGCTTCAATAGGAACGCGAAATTCGACTTTGACCTTCCGTGTTATCGGCACTTCACGTTGCACGACGCTAGATAATCTCCTCAAGAGTTATTGTCGCCAACCGCACTTGGACTATGCGGGATCGCAAGGGCAAGCTCTAAATCGGTCCTCTGCTTCAATAGGAACGCGAAATTCGACTTTGACTTTTTGTGTTTTCGGCACTTCACGTAGCACGACGCTAAAGAATCTCCTCAAAAGTCATCGTCGCCAATCGCACTGGGACTATGCGGGATCGCAAGGGCACGCTCTAAACCGGTCCTCTGCTTCAATAGGAACGCGAAATTCGACTTTGACTTTTCGTGTTTTCGGCATTTCACGTAGCACGACGCAAAAGAATCTCCTTAAAAGTCATCGACACCAATCGCACTGGGTGGGGCCGACTACCTCCAAAAAAACTACCTCCAATTAAACATTGCGATTTTTTTTTACCTCCAAATTATTGCCTCCAAAAAATACGGAAAGAAAATACCTCCAAAAAATTGACCTCCAAAGTTTGGAGGTACTGAAGATGGTTTCAAGTGAGGTGAAAATTACCTCCAAACACGAAAGCGATATTACCTCCAGTCACAGAGGTGTTAAATTACCTCCAAAGTATTCACCTCTAAAGTTTGGAGGTAGTTTTAGAAGCAGCAAAACGTAAGGAAAAAACACTTCTACTTTTTTGGCCGCTTCATTGCCTCCAAAGAATTCACCTCCAAACTTGGAGGTAGTTACAAAACGTGCAAACAACGCCGTCGTTGTCTGGAAGTGACCGCGGGTGGTGACCGACGGCCTGCAGTTGGCAGCGAATGGTATGGCGGCATGGGTACCCAAGGCATAGCTTTTACGCCGAGCCAAAGGGACTGGGCAAAAGTGTGACTGAAATTCAGAGCGACTGTGTGCGACAGCCGAGAAACCCAAGAAAGATGCGCGGGGGAAGTGCGGCAGTGATGCACCGCAGCGCGGCTTGCCGTCAGCCCGAGGACGCGCGCGTGGTAAAGTGGCGAAGGTCGAGGGTCTCGACGTAGTACCCCTCAACGTGGTCCTTGCTTTAGGTGTCCTCGCAGCTCGCCACACCGAGGCCGTGTCGTGCACCTCGCTGTAGAACCGATGAGACACGCACTACACTGGTGAAACAAAGGCATTAAAATTATGCCCTGTAAGGGCGTAAGCGATTTTCGCCCATAAAGGGCACAAATTGTTTATGCCTTTGGGGAGGGCATTAAAATTTTGCTTGAAATGCCTATACCATTTACGCCCTTCCCAAGGGCATAAAACGATTTATGCCCTTGGGAAGGGCGTAAAAGAGTATTTATGCCCTAAAGGGCGTAATTTTTATGCCTTTGTTTTACCAGTGTAGGCACCTCCCGAGGACACCCCGCGGCCCGGCGAGAGGGTCGCCGTCGTGGACTCGGTGACTGCCGGGTACTACTAGGGCCATTGCTTCGTGCCGCGGAGGCCGTGCTCGGAGAGCTTGGCCGTTGTGGACTCCGAGGCCGGGGAACCAGGGCACACCAGGTAAACTCACTTCGGCCGCGCTGCCTTGCCTCAAGAACTGTGCTCTTGCCTCCGAGACCGTGCTGGTCCGAGGTGGTGGCCGTCGGGGACTCTCGGGGGAAGTCCAGTGTCACTCCAGCTTTGTCTTCATCATGCTCCGGAACGCGGTCCATCACGGTGTCGCCGCCAAGGCCACGGTGCGGCTGTCGAAAGCGGCGGCGTCTGGGGCGCGCTCTGGGTCTGTCATTCTCTTGGCAACATGCGTCGACTTTTTTCTTTGCCTCATCGTGCCGGGCAACCAAAACAACTTTTGTATCACTTCGACCCACCGACGTAGAATCGACTTTGCCTCATACGGTCCATCGTACCGGGCATCCAAAACAACTTTTGTAGCACTTCGACCCACCGAAGTGGCCCATCGTATCGCGGGCTTTCACAACAGGTTCCCGAGACCGGTGCGGCTGGCGGCCGCGGTAGTGTCGTTCCTTTGCGCAGGCCACGGCCACGGTACGGGTCCCCAGCCCTGCTGCGGCAGCAAAATCAGTCTTGCGTCGTCCCTTCAGGGAGTGCTGTGGCGCTGCGGCAGTCGCTCGCGGACTACGGCGCGTCGACGGGTACGATGCTCGACGATCCGACCAAAGCCGTACTCCAGGAGGGGCGCCGTCGTCGTGGTCCCCGCTGCAGCGAGCCACGGCGTCGCTGTGCAGCTGTGCGCGGCGCTCTCCGCGGTCGCGCTGAGCTCCCCCGGGTACCCGACTTGGCCCAGACCGTGCTCCAGAGGCGATGTCGTCGTCGACACGCTCTCCGGACGCACGGCGGTAGTGGCAGTGGCGCCCCTGCTGGGCTGTCGCGGGCGTGGCCGCAGACAGGTGAAGGTAATCGCGGATCCAGAGGGAAGTCCCCTGACGTACAGACGTCTGGTGTGCTCTCCGTCGCCGTCATTCGCTAACCCAACCCACGCAGTAAACGACGGCGTGCTGTGGCCCTGCTGCCCAGAGGCACCAACTACTTGCGCGGTCGACGGCGCACTGACGTGGCCGTGCAGGCCGTGCTAGAGAAGGGCGTCAACGCACTCCTCGGCTGGAGGGCGCGGCGTTTTCCCCCAGCACGAGGTGCTCTCTGCGCTGTGGTCACCATGCCGTCTCTCTAAGTTGCTGCACCAGTAGGCCGTGATCGGTAACGCAGCCCCTTCGACGGGAAGGTGATGGTGTTCGACGCCCCGCCGGACCCGTCCTGCTCCGTCACCCGGACCGCGCAGGGCGTTGTCGCGAAGAGCGGGGGAAGTCCATCAGCATCGCAAGTGCGCCCCGAGATGAGCTCGGCGCTTCGGCGCTGGCGTAGAAGACCGTCACCGCCAACCCCGTTGGCGGTGAGGTGTTGTGTCCTGGTGCAGCAGCATGCGTGCGTGCGTGCGGTGCGCGCAGCGGACTTTATTGTTGCAGTCTCGGCATGATCTAATTGTTAAGTAGCCCATCTCCTCCCCTGTGTATCTTTGGGGAGCAATGTACAAGTGGCAGGTGTGGTTAAAACGCATGGGCACTCCTCTCCCTGCGCGCCGAGTTCGCGCCCCCGGGCTAGGCCAGCCCTTCGACACACCGAGGGCCTGGCTACGGCTCGGGGGCTCGCGGTGCGTTGGTGAGTCCAGGTGAGTCTCACCGTGCGTACTACCTCGCACTTTGTGGCATCTCGCTATTACGCACGCGACGTCCCCTCCGACCACACTCGATCCGACTCGATCCGTCTGCGCCGCAACAAAGGTAAACCGCTTCCGATGCGCCGATTGCTTGCTCCGCTATGCACGCCTCACACGAGGCTTACTTCGAAGCGATGTCGCACTAACTGGGCCTGCGTGCATTATGCACCCTGAATGCACCCGCGCGCTGGGTGCAATGGGGGCATAGCAGCCGGCCCAGCAGGGAAGACCGGGGTAAAAAGGGGTTTCTGTTTCTCTGCGCGGACGGCCTCTGAACCGCGGACTGCAAAATGCCACTACACTGCAGTCTGGGGTTCGAATACCGTGCAAAGAGAAACGGCTTTACTCTTCCCCTGACGTCGAGCACTTTTGTGTTGGCTGCTCGGTCCAGTTAGTTACTCTCCTGCGATGCTTTCAGAACTCTTGCCTGTTTCAGGGGAACAGCGCCCACTAGCTGACGGACGTCGACTTTCAGCGGGGACATGCGGTGGCACCGGACACCGGATGGGGGACCCGGAGAGGAGCCTTAGAATTCGAGCCAGACGCAGTCTTGACTTGGTCTTCCCAGAGCGTGGCCAGTCCAGCCACCGCACCAGCAAGTCGTAGGTAGCGGAGCAGCGTTCAACATTCGTTACGTTACCTCCCCCATGTCCTTTGCTCTCTAGCTAAGCAGCCCAGGCTGCGCGCCCGAAAGCGCCCGATAGGTAGGCAATCTTTGCTGCGCGCTCGGTAGCGCCCGAGGGGTAGGCAACCATTCCGACTCGGCACTTTCTTCATCCCCTCCTTTCCGTCTGATAACCTAGCTCACACCCCTACCCCCACCCCTAGTACGCCCGTTAATAATTCTCATACCGACGCGTCTTTCTCGGTTTCGGCCATTCTGTCTGCTGGACAACAACACCGTGCAGCTTTTAAATTTTCGGATTTGTCCAAGTGTTTGTCCCATTAGAGTTTACGTTCCAAGTGCCTTGCCCTTCACGTAGTGAGTCTCCGTCTGTGGCGAAAATCGTCCCTTGACGTGTTACGCGTGCCCATGAATCCCGCCGCGAAAGGCGCATGCAACCTGTTCTTCTTGCAGTCTTTCCCTGTTTGCCAATTGCATCAGCTTTAGCCGTTTTTCTTGTTGCAGGGCCATTAATACGGTCTCCAGGGTCTGCAGCATGAAGCCTGTCGATCTGTCGCTGCCCCAGCGTCCCGCCACCAGTGGATCCTAACCTCACAGATATCGCAGTAATTTTCACATTTCTGACCTAGCTGCTGGTCTGGCCTGGAGCTTGTCACCTGCCACATTTATCGGGCCGTGATCCTCATTGCCTCCAGGATGATTGATGCTTCAAGGTAAATTGTGTATTTAATTGTTTGCCGTGTTGGCCTGTTATTAGTTTTTGTCAGTTCAACGAAACCGTTGTTACTTCTTTATCAAGACCAATGGTCACGATGAACGGAAGTGGTGTGCAACTGTGGCTGGCCAACCATAATGATTTTAGAGTTTTGAGTTTTGCCTGCCTATTTATGCTAGATTCATTCTCCCTCAAATAGTTGTGAGTGGTCTCAGTGTATCTGAATCCCTTTGTTTTATGGACATCTTATTTTTTGTCCCTTTTATCTTTCATTGCGTTTGAAACATGTTATTTTTTTCATTCTAAGCTTTGGTTTTTAAACTAACGAATCTGTTCTTTGTTTTTCTTCAGGTTTTCCTGTGGTGTAAATAACAATCAAGAAGCCGGAATATTTTACTCCCACAGCGACAAATCATTTCATTGATATGTCATTGGAAGGTTGGTTTCATCTTCCTCATCGTTAAATATTATGTATTGTTTAAGATTTTGTGAGGAATAGCATTGAACCTTCCACTGATGTTTCAGGTTTCCTTTCTATGCAATGGTTTGTATTAGTTGGGCTTCGAAACTGTGCTCCCTGAAAGAAACAACAAGCCTCTTACATCTGTAAGTTCCCTCTTTTACTGAGTGTTACATAATTGTTTGGATTACATTTTACTAACTCTCTTGTCTAATTTATCTTCTGCAGTTCTGCTGTCACTTGCTTCTCCGGCGGCTGGCTTATAATTTTGTCATTGTGAGCCTTGTTCTCTGTGATTTCTTGTAGCACATGATGAACATGTTTGCTGTCCCTTCCTAGTGAGTCAGAGGGAAGGGTGACTCTCAACTTGAAATTTTTTCTCAATGAGAAGTGACGGAGTTCCTGTAGGTCTCCCTGCATTAAATTTGCCTAGGGCAGGTATCAGGGTAAGAAAAGTACAGTTGGTAAATTGCATTGCATTTTGATATTTCTATGGTTAATTATTTCTGATTTGCATTGCTAGCATGCTGGCCACCACATCTTTTAATTTTCTGTTGCTTGTTGTTGGCCTTATTTATTTTATAATCCTGCATCGTGCATTGTGGCGACACTGAAACTGATTTGTGCTGTCTCTGCTTTCAATTTCTGTTTGCAAGTGGAAACTAACAAATTCTTTTATTCCTCATCAGGTGGAGAATGAGAATGCCGAACCTGTTTCAACCAATGAGTTCATTTACGCAGTCTGCTCCATCCTCTTGTGACTATGTTGCAACATTTTTATCCTCTAATCTTTTATCAGCTTCGTATAAGTAGGTCTCTTTATTTTTTTAAAATCTTTTTTGTAATATGTTGTTGCACCTTTTCATTGCTTTTGATACTGGTTTTGGCTTTTAGGTTCTGTCAATGCAATGTGAATTACTATTTCGCCTCTGATGGTCTGGAGAAAAAGAAAAACACCATTCCAGAACAAGGAAAGCATTCCAGTTTGCTGGTTGGTAGTCTTCTTGTTTTTCTAATTTGCACTCAGTGTTGTTAACTTGTACCTAACTATGTAATTTCATCTTTTGCAGTTCTGGTCGCACCCAAAGAATACCAACTGTAAAGGATAGAAGCTTCACAACATCAAGGCAACAACTTCCACCTCCCATTCCCCTGTTCGAAGACTGGAGCCATACGCTCTAGCAGTTTCTTGCATATGACAAAAGTTTCCTTAGCTTTATTTGGTTTAGCCTGAGTTAAATTAATTGTAGTTGTACTCAAATGTTTTTTCCCAGTTTATCTCATTCCATATTTCAACATTCTCTTCATTAAATTAAATTTTCGGGCAAACACTTTGGCTCGCATTGTTCTGGTTCTGCAAATTTAATCATACGCTGATTGTATTGTATTGGGCACGTTGTAATGGATTCACTGGCCAAGAGAATATTTGTCCATTTCTATTCTACTTATTTTGTGTGCATTATAATTGGTCTTCTAAAGAGAATTATGAAAATGATGGATAGACTGTTATGAAGGAGCAGCAGACGGGGAGAATGATAGCTAATGTTCTAAGGATGCTATTCATTTTTATTTTTTTAATAATTTTAATTTGTAATACTAATGACTGTTCAACTGGTTTTGCCATAGCTGCTGTGAGAGGCACAAGACCCAGGCCAAGTAATTGTGCCAGTGCTGTGGGTTATTTTATTTAAAAGTTGTCAACTAGATGTAACCCAATTACTTTTGGGCGTTCTTTTCCTGTCAGTCATGTCTTGCCCTAGGCCTGAGTTTATGTTGCTTTTAGTCTCTTACTGTTTCAACGAGCAATGGTTTCATTGCTCCAATGACCGTTAGTACGATACCATTAAATTAAAACTGCCAAGGGTCATCTAATGCATTAAAGAGCAAGGTGTGTGTGTACATCTTGTAGCATTGTAGGCAAACACTAGGCTGCCCTCATTATGCAAATCTATTGCAACTATTTTATTTACCAATTAACCAAGGTGTATTTGGATTTGGTTCTTTGGATTATCTTAAATATTGCAGCAGTGTAAAGTTTGAATATTAATTATGGTCACATATCTTGGATGAATTTGTCGCTCAATTTTATAATGTTGGAACGATGATGACCTGGCCTTTGGTCTCCTCCTTCTTATAGTATGTATTTTCTTGAAAGTGAATTTTGTGTGCGTTTTTCAGTTTGTGATTTGCATAAGTGCAAGAATGGACACCACTTTGTGTGACCCAATTTTAGAAACAATTCTAGACCTACTGTAGTAAATTTTGGTACTTGTAATTATAGGAAAGCAACTGGTGTTCTTTGAAAATAGGTTCTTCTACTAAAAGAGTAGATGGTAATGATCTATTATTCTTCCTTGCCTGTGGAATGGGTTAGTGAGTCGTGTTTAATAGCTTTTCCTACTTGTCATTTCTAAAGAATTTCTGTGAGTGGAATGTCCTAGTTTCTGTTGATCTCCTTGAATTAAATTTGTTCTCCTTATCTCCTTTCAAAGCAAGGTTGAGAATGCTCATTTCAGTTTGTTGTCACGATTAATATTTGTATCCGACCCTAGGATATATTTAGTACAGTATTTGATGTGAATGATAAGTTGCAGTAACAATTTGTCATTTCAGCCACAGAGTTGTGAAATGAGTGTCATTTATCATGTTAGAATTTGTTCGTGGTCTTGGTTTCTGCAGATGCCAACTGAGTTGTGTGGCACTGATGACTGCGTGCCAGACCAAGGCCCAGTGCCAGCTGTTTTCTTACATGTAAATGGCCAAAGAGATTCCTTGTTCCAAGCTGGTTTCAAACAAAAATCATTGAACTAAAATTTACTGTGTACTGTAAAGCATATTCTGTTGCTCTTGTGACTGTGTGGTCTTTATGTTGGGGTGGTGAAGAAGTGTAATGTTAAGCAACTATGAGGTGGAGTGATTCCATTACTTCAGATGTAATGACTCATTTTATGTTTTCTCCTTGCCTTTGCTGTGTGTCTGTACTAATCATTGTTTGTATTGCATTGTTCCCAGTCTTGTTAAAATATAATTTTGTTTTGTTATTGTCTTACACCATGTATCTCCCTGTTTTGATGGGGTACCTGAAGTGTTGGCCTAAATAAACTAATTTCTCAATTGCTCTGCCGTATTAGTGACCATTTATACCCTTGGTTCACACTCGTCAAGTATGACAACTTGCTTACTGTCATTTTAGGAGGCGATGAATAAAAGCTGTATTATTAAATTCTACATAAGATCCACATTGAGATTGACATGAGGTGAGAAGTTGGCAAGTGGGAAAAAAAATGCCACAGCTTCAGACAAATATTCAAAGTGCCAAAAGAGTGAATTAAGACAGTAAAGTAAGAAAAATCCCTTTTAGGGAGCTATTATATTAAATGGCACCTCTATTCCTGCTAACAGTGGTGTTCTATTTTTCACTGTCTACTTCTGAGTAGAGAGGAGCTGGGCCTAATTTCTATCCATCATCTTTCTGATGTAAAAATTCTGTGTGAACATTCTCACTAGGATTCAAGATGTAACCAACTGGCAGTTTTCAATCATATTTGCTGTCAGCTGTTTACTGTGCAAGTTGATTGTGTTACAGGTAATACCCGTTCTGTCATAGAATCAGCAACTTTGGTGCACTGCTGTGCCAACCACTAGTGCTAAGTAATAACTTCTCAGAGTGCCTGTATCCCACAATTCTCTCTCACATGTCCACCAAGTGCAGTAAATAACAGAGTATCAAGATATCTAACTCTGCATTTTGCTGCAGTTCTGTTTGAAAGGCAAGGCACAGGGGTAGAAAAAATAAAGCAGCAGGAAATTTCCAAGAAATAGTCATATACTTGGTCAAGTAACACATGATAATGTACCGCACCACAGTCCGTCATTAATTAAAACAACCAGATTAAACACAATTGACATGAAAATGCCTTTCTAGGGCAGTAAAAAGCTAACAATTAAAAACAAGGGTTGTAACGCAATGTTGCGCACTGAGGGCAATAAACAAAAGGAAGGGATCCATTATTAAAAGAACCACACCGGGTTGTAGGAAAGACAAAATAAAATCTGATTAAGAAAAGTATTTCTTATTGACATTAAAAAAAAAACTCGTGAAACTATGATTTAGCTCACATACTCACGTACATCAAACACGATTAAATCAAACAATCATAAAAATAAACCTCACGAAACCAGTTTGGGTTGTAGGACAGACTCAAGTAAGTAATGAAACAGAATCATTACTATTGTTCATGAAAACTTGTGAAACCCGGATATCATTTCAAGTACCCGGGTTGTAACGCAATGTTGCATAGTGAGCGTAGAGAAAGAACATGCCACAGCACGTAATAAACTGTTTGTCGCATAATCAATGTACTGAAAAATAACTATTGGACATGTTGATACACGATTGAATGCCAAAGAAACTCGTGATTTCCCTACACAGAGGGCACTGTCCTTACGATTTTGAGTTCTTTCCTCGTTTTGGAACATCTGAAAGTGAAAGAGAAACCAAGATGAGTAGGAATAGGCAAGACAGCATGGTGCAACGCACTTCTTCACGTGAGGTACATACAAAATTTGGGCTCTCCTTTGCTGGCATTTGTTTTCTTTTGCCCTTTGCTTTTAGTTTCCTGACGGGCCTCTTTTTCAAAATCCGATTCCGAATCAGAAAGAGCAGCCCCACGCTTCTGCAAGAGGAAAATGTAATAACTTGAGGACATTTTTTAATGCATGAAATAATAAATTACTCAACACTACAACACACCTTTGAGGCCTTCTTTTCTACTTTTTGAACTTTCTTTTTCTGATTTGCCCTGCTTATTCTTTTTTTTTGTGGTAGCTCATCAGGTGAATCCTCCTCCTGCAAAAAAAATTGCATGTTTATTTTGGGGCAATTATTAGCATTTCACGAAAGCGATAGGGCCGTGACTTACCCCGTCCATCCAGTGCCCTATCTGATCCTGATCTGAGTTGTTACTTGAGTCAGACTCAACAGTTGGCTTTCGTCTAGGAGCCGGACGTTTGAGAGATGCCTTCGCCTGTGTTTTCTGAAATTGATTGGAGATGAGACGGGAGTTAAGAAATGGATCACTGCATTGACAACCACTAGGAGTTAAATTTTTACCTTATTAAAACACTTTTCCTGTTCATCTTCTTCCTCACTTGATTCGTCTGTTGGTCCTGACCTCCTAGTTGCTGTGGCCACCTTAGAATTTTTGGATTCTCTCCTTTGGCGCTCAGGTGCCTGACATGAAAACATGACTTATGTTAATCCTGGTTATTCAGTGCACAGGCTGTCATAAGTGTGTACTTACCTCATCATCATGATCAGCGGCTGCTTGGACAGTGGCTGAACGAGGAGCACTACCAGAAGTGTTTCGTGCACTCCGACGGAGTTGCGGTGCAGTTGTTGCTTCCTC